GCTTGACGGCGAGGAAGAGGAGGAGGAGGATGGGATCTTATTGGAGGACTGGGAGGGCGAAAGTCATGTCAGTGACGGCTCTGTCAGGGACGATGAAGCACCTGCCTTGCCTTCAAGACCACCTCCGGCCCCGAAAGATGCCCCAGACGCAACGGCAGACTTACAAGAATTGGCTCCCACGGGCGGTTACCCTTGGAGTTTCGGGCCTCCTCCATCGTTCTGGGGACCAAGTCCAAATACTGTTCCATTCTGGCCTTTTCCCTATGGCCAGCAGCCACCCCATTTCCCCGGGCAGCCTGGGGTGGCTTTCCCTTCGCTTGGCCAGCATCCCGCGATGTTACCTTTCACTAACTTGTACCCCCCTTTCATGTCTGCCCCATTTGGTTCGCTACCTACATCAATTGCTGGGCCCGGAGCCGGCGCATCGTCTCTACCCCAGGCCCAGCCAAAGAAGCGTGTACAAAAATCGTTATTTACTTCACGATTTTTCTCAAAAGGGAAGAAAAATGACCACACGGAGGAAGCAAAGGCTGAACCATCAAATAACGACTCGCAGAACGTGCAGCCAGCGCAGGAATCCAAGTACATAACGGATGACGAGGATGAGCTGCTCTCAGAGCAATATTCAATCGCACCCCAGAACAAAGAAGGAATCGATACCACGTTGGTTGAAGAGCCTGCCACGACCTCCACCGACAGTCCTCCTGCTGGCTTGAATTCAACCAGGGACGAAACTACGGGTACTCAGGACAGAGTGTCTGTGGAAATCCCAGAGATATCAGAACAGCGGCGGAAACAATACAGGCATATATCAACGGAGAAACATAACTCTGTGCTCCCCACCCCCCCAACATCAGTGGTTGATACATCGGATAGCGACGGGGATAGAAACACCCATAAGCTGAGATGTGAATCTCCACCCCAAGATTCAGATAGTCCGACGAGGCCTGGAGAAGATGTGGTTCTCCACGATGAGAGCCAGACTCTGGAAGATACCAAGATTCTAGAGGGCTTGGTAGACCATGAGATGTCAGGCTCTGAGGCCGTGGTCAACCATGATATGCTAGGTCCTGACTTGGTCTGCGCAGAAACAGAGGAAATTGATGTCTCCGAAGGGGGTAATACTATCAACAAACACGAGAGAAGCAACGACATCGAAGAAGGTCATACCCGCATCAAGTCTGAGGACAACACGGCAGATTTATCAATCCTCCAAACCACCACCTATGTACATACACCATCGGGACCACTTTCACCTCCAAGATCTACTGGCACTCGAGATTCCTCAGCCGAAAATGAGCTACCACTCCCCTCGAGATCGGAATCGCCTCCTAAACAACCAATTGTTTCTCAGGGCGCCAAATTACCAAGAAAGCCTGAGATGATGTATATTTCACCTACGAAACATATCGAACAGACGGGCACAAAGCACTCACCTGCCAAACTCCCAAATGAGCGAGGCTCAGCAACTCCCCACAGAGTATCCAAGATACCACTTACCCCTCGACACGCGCGAACTTCAACCATCAGAACTCCTTCGACTCGCCGGTCCATTTTGTCCCTTCTCTCGGACGAGGAGGAGGATGAAATGCTGCTCAGCGAGAAGCACACAGTCTCTATACCAAACCTCTTTACTTCGTCTCGTCGAAAGAGGGGGAGGTCCGATAGGCACAGCGGGAGGTCGGGGATTTACGACACACCAACTAAGAAACGCCCAAGAAAAGACCCGCCGCCCAAGGCCACCAATTCGACACAGGCGGTGTGTGGTGTAGATAATTATCGGTGCGGGGGAGACTTTTGCTTCAACTGCTTGGCAGACTGATGTAAGGTACAGCATTTAGATTGGTTGATGGATGTGGGCACTTTGTGTCTTTTTGGGACTTTGCATGTGGGAGACATCAATGGTCATCTTATATATAGCCGTATCGGGAACAGGGAGCATGTCACAACGCTGTAAAGGACTTATATTAATAGCTTGTCTATCTATTAATACCATGACCCTCCTACCACATCGAAAAAGAAAAATTAAAAGGAAAGCATCCCCTCATACCTCTGCAGAACCCTGACGCCGCAAGAACTATCGAATTGCCGTGGAACGCCAAAATCAAAACTCGTAAAAGTCAGCTAGCTGTGGGTTGTTGTTCGAGCAGGGTAAGGAGCCTTGGTATAGTTACCCAAGGCGTGTCTCGACTCGGGGAAGACTTGAAAGCGCCGTCCCAGCCCACATGCCCTCAGTATTAGCGGTCTCATGATCCTTCCATATTTGGCGCGCGCCCACCCCTTGAGACCTCCTAACACAATTCAAACTGTCGTCCAACCAGGGTCATCGAGTTCCCCCACGTCAAAAGCTCAGGGGTCTTGTCTCGATGCTTCATCGTCCATCACTTCATCGTGGGAGGACCTTGAATTAGGTAACCTCAGGGTATCATCAGATGATGAAGATCCAAAATCGAGCGGGCGGGTGGCAAAGGCGGCATAAAAAAACGTCAAATATTCTCTCTAAGCCTTGGCTGTGCTGACGCCGGCATTTGCCAAGTTCTGCTTGAAAACTTCCGGATCACGGACAGGGTTGAAATATGGGTGAGCTTGGGCCTCCTTGGCAGTCAGACGTTCCTGAGAAAGCAGTCAGCGTCTGGTAAAGGGAGAGAATGTCTAAGGGGGGTGTTACCTGATGGTCATAACGCAACAGCTTGTCAAGGAAATCGATGGCTTCGTTAGAGACAAATCGCTGGTTCTCCGCTGTCACAAAGCTGTGCCAAGGCTTCTTCTGGAAGTGGCCCAGGATGTCATCGTACTGAGCGTCCAATTCGATCTCATACTTGTCGAGGTAGTCGAAGAGGTCGTCGGTCCCGAGGACCTTGGCAATCTTGACAAGCTGATCCGAGTTGCTGTTGCCGTGGAAAAAGGGCTCTTTCCGGAAGATCATGGAAGCGAACATAGCTCCCAGACTCCACATGTCGAGACTGTAATCGTACTCTTGGAAATCAACCAGAAGTTCAGGGCCTTTGAAGTAACGGGAGGCGACGCGGACGTTGTACTCGGTGCTAGGATGGTAGAACTCTGCCAGACCCCAGTCAATAAGACGCAGCTAGGCGGTTGTTAGCATTCAGTCATTCCTCTTGTTTTCGCAATTGCCAATGACTCCATACCTTTCTGTTCTCATGATCGATCATAACGTTATGAGGTTTCACGTCTCGGTGCATAATGCCCTTGCTGTGGCAGTAGTCCAGTGCCTTGAGTAGCTCCAGAATGTAGAAACGAACGTCAATGTCGCTGAACTTGGGGTAAAGACTCCGGAAATCGGTGTTGTTAACATGCTCGAAAACAAGAGACGGCGTCTTGCTCTGTCAAGAGAGAATGGTCAGCGTTCTCCTCGCGTGCGATGACCGGCGTATTCAAGGGAGATGTGCGCAACAAGCATACCTGTGAATCTCGGACAACGTCGAAGAGCGCAACAACGTTAGGGCCCCCAGCCAAATTTTGCAGGATCTTGATCTCTCGCTTAATCTTCTTCTTCTTAACGGGCTTTAGAACTTTGATGACACATTTCTGGTAGTTGACGACGTTGATACCCTCAAAAACCTCGGAGTATTTGCCCCGGCCTAAAGTGGGATTAGCAATTGGCAGTCTCATAGCAGAATCTCGCGCCTAGGGAGATCCTGGCCGGCGGTGCCAACCAAAATTGCGAGACGAAAATTTCTAGAGACAAAACCTACCGATCTTCCTGACAACTTCGTAGTTCTCAAGAACGCCCCAACCTAGTTGCGGGGTTAGCCTCAGATCCTGTCCCAGCACATGGCACCATCGGGCATCGCTGACAACGCGCATGAGCGGCATCAGCCTGGGGGTCAAAACTTACTGATATTGACGCTATCATAGTCCCAATAGCTCCGGGGCATGTTCTGGTTCACATCGGCGTAGACGCGCGCCATTTTGTCGGCCGAATGGGGTCGCACGACCACCAGCAAGAAAGTCTTTCGAGGTGCGAAATTCCGACGACGGCGGCCGCTTGTGGTGTCGGAGCGGCGCGATGCACAGCTCTCGGGTCACGAGGAAGCGACTTCGTGTGGGTGAGTGCCTTGGCTAACGATGCTTGTCGGGTTGTGGGAGGTCAGGTTCTGGGCTCGAGGGTGCCCTTTGGATGGCTGCGGTGCCAAGTACGACTTGTCTCTGCTGTTCCGAAATCCAGGCCTTGACGCCTTGTGATTGTGGGCCAGCTCCTCCTCACCTCAGATGGCGGGGAGGGGCTGGGTGCTGGTACGTACCACTTACTGGCCCCACCCACCGCCCGCCGACACTGGCCGCCGATGGACTGAACTCAAAGTGACACCGAGAGTCAGGCATGCACGTTGATTGATTGATTGATTGTTTCGGTAATTAATGCATTTATCTACCAAGGGATGAGATGTGCCTATAAATGCAATACCCCCGAATTCCCCTTCTTTCGTTCCCTATCCCTGCATGCCGCCCAGAGCACCACAAGCCATTATCTTAGACTGCATTTGGTTGAATGACACAAATGCCTAACAATACACCTGCAATTCGCTTCCTCCTGCGCGCTGGCCCGTTGGCATGAATTGTGTGATCCGTTGTAAGATATTACAAAAACATGAAAACTGCAGACATCAAGAAGGCCGCATGACCCTCCACGCCAGCTGTTCTATGACTTTGAGCGGGTCTTAAATGGATTCTAAGCAGCATGTCAGCACAAGCCATTTGTTTTGCCCGTATGTAGTGAATTCAGAATATGACAATGTGTTTCAGAGAGAAGATTATGTTCTCGTCATCTCAAGACCACCCGACATCCTCATCACTAAGTGATGCCTCCTCTGCCTGTGTTCTTGATCCGCCTCAAGACGATACAAGTTTTCATCATAACATAGATAAAAAGTAGGGAAGTGCAATTAGTACAGAGCACCATACATACCGACATTTTAGAAAGGGTCTTTTATGATGCGGCACGTTCATGGCGGGTTGTACCAGGGCCACACATGACATGCTCAATCATAGTCAAGAGAATCAAGACCCTTCTCAACAACATCCCAGGTCCTTTTCCTCAAATCAGGCTTTGGTTCCGCTGGTTGGCGCTTGGGTCCTTTCTTCTTCTTCTTATTCCAGGAGCTTGCCGCCGAGGGCGATGGTTGGGAAATGCTTCTTTCTCGATGGTGTGCCAGGTCATCTCCCAGCGGTGATGGAGCATCTTTCTTCCTGTTCTCCTGTTTTTTCCGCTGCCGGCGAAGCTCCTGTAACTCAGAGTGGCGGAAGATCTCAATTTGCTCGTCGGTCAAGGTGCGTTTCACGCCATCCTCGTAATAACCTAGGTCATCTTCAACTTCTTCCTCCCATCCGCTGAGGAGTTCAGGATTTGCGAAAGCATTCGCTTTATCAGAATCAAGAAATTCTATCCCAAATTGTGACACGGCCTCCTCCGCAAAGTGTTCTTGAAAGAAGGCTGCGAAATCATCCTGAAGCAAATGTTAGGAGTGTGTTGACACCAACATGTAGGAAGGTTTGACTTACGCTTGATACCGCTGGCAATTCCAGTGCGGTGGGATTGGAATGCTTTAAAGGAGTTCTATCCTTTGAATCTCCCATTGTTGGATACCAAGTCCAGGTATGCCTGGCTATGGCTGTCTGAACCAAGTGGGATCAAACAGGTGCGGCTGAGAAGGAAAAGTGGAGTGCTATCTTGGGTAGACATATCACGTGCTTTTGCGCTGGCCATCCAGCCAGAGCCAACTGGAAGCAAGCGTTGCGAATCGTGATAAGCCCAACATGCAGACGAGTTGGAAGTTAAATCCAAGCCATTGAAAATCTCTCGAGGAAATAGAAAGGTATCATGCCGATCGCAAGAGTGCTAGGGCGCTTTCAAATGCACGTAGTACATCCTCGTCTTGTTGGCCCTGTTAGTATTGAGAGCTGAGATGGATTTGCTTAGAATGACTTACAGTGCTGTTGTTTCTGTGCCATTTTCTCCTCCGATATGTTGACGAAGCGTCTGCGTGTCTGTAGCCGCTTGACAGCGCGCTCGTCATCGTGGCTTGAGGCAGCTGCTGCCCAAGTGCGGAAGTACTGGTTCCATCCACTCAATATGCCAAGATCATTTGAATCGGTGCCAACACATGAAACGGGACTTACTTTGGAAAGATTTTCAGCTTCCTTGAAAATGTCTTGCTCGGCTTGACCCATTTCGCGCAATGCCTCTTCGTAGCGTTTTTCAAAATCATCCCAATCAAACGATGGTGGCATTTCGGGAAAATCAGGCTCGGAGGAGGACTCTTTCTCCATGCGCTTCACCTCCAATGGGGGAGTCCTGGCCTGGCTCAAAGATGGATTCTGGGTGTTCTTCGCCGACGTGTTGTTCGTCTGAGATGAGGACTTGGGCTCAGTCCCATTAGGGGAGCCTTGCGGAGAATCCATTTCAAATGAGTGTATAATGAAGCAGAAAAGGGCACCAAATCGTTGGCTGAAAGCTTGTGCAGTGTAATATCAATTGCTCATGTAGGCGATGAACGCGAGAGCTTGGGAACTTAACGCGTCTTGTCGTCAATTAGGTACTTCGTACTTCGCGAGCCCACAACTGCAGGCACCACGCGCCCGTGCTCCTGCCTTCCTTGTCTTGACCTGATCCATACCTGTTAGTAATCCGGCAAGTACCTTGCTGGCCTTGCGGTACGTCATGCAGATCGACCTACGGGAAACAGCTGGGAAATCGATCATTGCACGACAGTTTATCAGCATGTAGTTTGTTCAGATTAGGGCGATAGATCTATTGAGAGTTTGCTTAGAGCCTGTTGCCACCAGAAAAGTCTAATTTTGCTGCCAAAATTTAACAGAAGGGTCAGCCTTGTTTCAGAGAGATACGTGTGTAGCCAGCCACGGTAGTCGTGAATTCAATACGTCCGTCCCTGTAGCCAACAAATGCGCTCTGGTTGGATGCAAATGCTCTATGGCATCCTCAAGTGACGCAAGCGATTTGATCCAGCAACATGAATGCTGTTTATCACACAAGGACATTGATTGTGTTCATCTAATCCGTTACTTTATTTAGCGCTCAGCGCCACTATGCAGTAAGGTAATAATGACCTGTACTGCACTGGTGGCAATGAAGCACTGCACTGACCTCCAGCGCTCTCCTCTGCTAATCCATTGCCGCCTACAAGGCTCCAGCCAAGGTTGAATCTTGTGACCCAAGTCATCAGCCTCCCCCCACTGACTTGACGACGTCCATCTCGTTATCAAAGGACCTTCTGTGCTTTTCAGGGACGTTTAATCTCACACATCCGTGCTGATCTTGCATCCGCTTCAGATGAAATCCGTGGCCTTCTCACGTTCCGCCTGTGCATCATAACCCCAGAAGCTCAGCGTCCCGCACATATCGCAGTCCCCTAGTTCCCTCAAGTCCCGTCTCTCAGATGGAGTGTGATATCTGCCACCGGGGCCACGACCCTGCGCGGCAGCCCTTTCTTTGCGCCGTCGATGCAAGGAACCAGCTCTATCAGGGGCGTCTGAAGAGCGTGCAGCTTCTCATGGAGAACGAGGAGCTCCGGAACCAGATCCGCGGCGTGATAGACAACCCCTCGGATACCTCATCGCTCGCCTCTAGCGTAGCCCAGTCAAAGAGAGTCACTGTTGAGGGCGAGACTTCCCGGATCCTAGAGGCCGCAAATAAACTACGAGATGAAATCAAGGCAGCCAGGGATGAGATCCAGGCAAGGAAAGCGACCATCGCACGCAGGAGATCCGACCTTGCCACCGCATCAGAAGGTCTCACGGGCCGTCGCTCCAAGCAGCAAAAGGAGTTGGAGAAGGCCTCTCAAAGGCTCAACTATCGCTGGTCACAGAGCGCCGAGGACATGTCAACAACAAGAGCATTTCTTTACGCTGAGGCCGCCGATCTTTATGGACTGCGACGCCTGAGCAAAGACAATCACGAGTACGAACTTGGCAGGATACCTGTGGTGAACTTGCTTGATATGAACTGTAAGTCTAGATAAATACATGCTTCCTCGTTCCTCTCTCTTCTTCTTCTTCTTCTTCTTCTTCTTTTTTTTTGGATCTGCTTTTTTGATCTGCTTTTCGGAACCTTTTTGGATCCTTTTTGATCTTGCTTTTGTTGATCCTTTTTGGATCTGCTTTTTGATCTGCTTTTCGGATCCTTTTTGGATCCTTTTTGATCTTGCTTTTTTCGATCCTTTTTGGATCTGCTATTTGATCTGCTTTTCGGATCCTTTGTGAACCCTTTTTGATCTTGCTTTTTCGATCCTTTTTGGATCTGCTTTTTGATCGCCAGCTAACACAATACAAGCCCTCGAACCCGAGTACATCACCACCTCCCTCGGCCATATCACACACATCGTGATGCTGGCCTCGTATTACTTCGCCATCCGCCTGCCAGCCGAGATAACTCTCCCACATCGAGATTATCCATATCCCACAATCCAGACCATCATCAGTTCATATCAAGGCAAAATTCCCACATTCCCTGGATCGTCCCTGTCGGCATCGCCGAGCACAACCAGCCTCGAAAACGGCTCCAGATCCATTGCTAGAGCACGCCCGCTCTACCTTCAAAAACCCCTTCCACAACTCCTCAGAGACGACCCGACCGCTTATTCCTTCTTCCTGGAAGGGGTCTCTCTGCTCGCATATGATGTTGCCTGGCTGTGTAATTCACAGTCCATTGTTTTTAGTGGCCAGAATGTGGCCGACGACATTTGCCAAATGGGTCGAAATTTGTATCATCTTCTTGTAGAGTCTCAGGCCGCCGTCGCTGCGGGTGCAGCGGCTACCAGGGCGGCGCACGACAAGTCCGGTGCGAAAGATCGCGAGCCAAAGCCTGAAGCCAGTTGGCTGGGTCGCTTCTCGCACGGGACCACCTTCTATCATCTGACATCTTCCGAGGGCAACGACCTTGTGAAATCGTTCAAGCTTCCTAGTCCCGTCAAGGTGGTTGATAGGTTGAAGAAGAAGCTTGTTGGTGATGCCCCGGCTCCGGATTGGGAGGTGTTGGATGACGATGCATGGAAGGTTGAAGATGCCTTTGGCCAGCCACGAGCTGACCAAGGGAATGGTGTTGCGGGCAAGCCCAAATCTGCTGGTTCATCCAAGGGGTGGATGAAGGTGAAGTAGAGATTGTTTTGGGTCCCGGGAAAACACCATAAAAGTCATTGGTTCAGAGACCGAATTGAGGGTCTATGTTTGATGACTGTAGGTAGCTCGTCAATTTAGGGCCAACCATCTAGTAAGAGTCGTTAAATAGACAGTAATGATAGGTTGTTTCCCATTGACTTTGAGCATATTGAGTCTGGTAGCTTGACTCGAGTTTCCGATTCGCATCGTAAGCAGGGTTATCTGCCTTCATGAGAGATGAAGGCTCCCTGTGAATTCCTACCGCGATACACTGGTGTATCGCGGTCTTTGTTTGCGCATTTGTACCTCACAGTTTTGGCAAGTGAATCGTGGCGGATTCTTTCAATGAGGTACGCGCTGAGCACTTTGTGCCTCACAGTTTTGGCAAGTGAATCGTGGATGATTCTTTCAGTGAGGCACGCTCTGTGCATGCTTTATACCAACCATTGCGCTTGTGCCTCACAGTTTTGGCAAGTGAATCGTGGCGGATTCTTTCAGTGAGGCACACGCTGGGAATGATTCGTTCGAATCATTGCACTCATGCCTCACAGTTTTGGCAAATGAACCTTGGGGGGTTCTTTCAGTGAGGCAGAGGAGCTGGGCATGCTGTGAACTAACCATTGCACGTTGTGCCCTCACAATTTTGGCAAGTGAATCTCGTTGAGGCTGAGATTCTTTCAGTGAAGGGCACGTGCTTGGGCATGGGCTTGTGCTGATCATTGCACTCTTGCCTCACAGTTTTGGCAAATGAACCTTTGAGGGTTCTTTCAGTGAGGCAAGTTTCGAGTTTGGGCTTCTGTGCTGATCATTGCACTCCTGTCTCACAGTTTTGGCAAGTGAATCTTTGAGGATTCTTTCAGTGAGACAGGTGTTGCGTATGGGCTTTTGCCGATACGATGCCGATGCCGGTCGGTTCGGTTGTGGAATTCATGATGCGAAATATATTCGGAGGTAAGTGGTCCAGGGAAACTTGAGAATGATCTTTGTTGTCCCTTTGCAGACCGTGTAAGTTTATGCTCAGCGGGAGCCCAACGAAGTCAGTTCATCTGAAGATTGATGAAACTGAAATCATTTCTTGGAGTAAGGTGCTCCAGAGAAGTTTGAGTGTGGTTTTGTCGGGGCCCGGGCCGAGCATGAAACTTGGGGTTGTTGGGAATCTCAAGGCAGTCGGTTCATCTAATGTTGTATTAAATTGGAGATTGAGTTTGGAGATATTAGATGCCGATGTCAGGTCAGTTGAGGTTGTTTTGGAGATCCTCGCGTTGACCATGCACGTATGTATTGAGATAAGCCCCATGGCAATCGGTTCATCTGAGATTGATGAAATTGAAGATTGAATTTGGAGATGTTAGATGCCGATGCCAGGTCAGTTGAGGTTGTTTTGGAGCGCCTCGTGCTGACCGTTGTATTGATTTGGGTCCCAAGGCAGTCGATTCGTTTAGAGATTGATGAAATCGAAGGTGTTTGGTGCCAATGGGAGGTTGAAGCTTGAATTGGTTTGTATTTCAAGGCTTCAAGGCAATCGGCTCATCTGAGATTGATGAATTTGGAGGTATTAGATGCCGATGCCAGGTCAGTAGAGGTTTATTTTGGTGCGCCTCGTGCTGACCGTTGTATTGAATTGGATCCCAAGGCGGTCGATTCGTTTAGAGATTGACGAAATCGAAGGTTTTTGGTGCCAATGGGAAGTTGAAGCTTGAATTGGTTTGTATTTCAAGGCAATCGGCTCATCTAGTGATTGATGAATGAGAGTAGAGTTATCAGATGCCGATTGCCTGGAGGTTGAGGCAGCTTCAGTAAGCCTCGTGCTTGTTTCATTTGTGTGCATCTCAAACCCAAGGCGATCGTTTCATCGTAGTGATTTATGATGAAGATTGTAGTTGTATGGTGTCGATGCCTGGGAGATTGAGATTGCTGGTTCAATATGCCGCGAGATATGAGGTTCTCGGGCTCGATTGATGTGCTCTTTTGCCATAAGTTTGTAGAGTTGGGTGGCATCGAGCTGGTGAAGTATCACCACTTCTGGCATGATGTTCTCTTGACGCAATCAAGATATAGAGAATATCAGTGCCGAATGAAGTTGTCAGCCACGAGCATCGGAGGATCTGGTGGTTTGAATACATCCGGATCATGGCTGAAGATGTTTGCTCCTTTCTCATTAGACACTCTCCCTCGTGTGTCCAGTGTGAATATAGAGCATGCCATCGCAGGCTGACTGGTTTCAGGCTCAGGATACCATTTCCAGTCGGTCTCGTCGGTGCGCGGTTCAATGCAAGACAAATTGATACATCGGACGCAAATAACGATGTTCAGAAAGTCGAGTGTATATATGCTGAACGCGCGCTGACAAAAAAAGAACGAAATACCCACGAGATGAAGAATAAGAATGTCGATTCATCTTGGGGGCGAACAAAGTCGAAACAAATATAGTTGTATAGTCGGACCAAATAATGTTTTGAAAAAAGAATACTGCCGGTATATCGAAACGGAAGAAGTCAATCTCAAGCTTCTTACAGATGTCGTACAGAAAATCTGACACAGAAAAGAAAAAAGAATATCGCAGAAGAAAGAACGCGCTCTTTTTTTTTGTTTTTTTGGGGGGTTGAAGGATAAGTATGGTTGCGATGCAATTTCTCCAGCGCGAGCCAGACAAATAATAAGCAACAGCAGCCAACTTCTCTCTCCATTTTTCTGTTTCATTCTGATCGTACATCGTGTCGTTTCGTTCATACAAGGACGGGTCGTATTCATACATCGCGAGACCAGCTCAGCGGAATTTGGTCGTACAGTGGTTTCGTTCGTTCGTTCGTTCGTCGTACAAAAGGAAAGGTATTCATTCGTACAAGGGGGGGGGGCGGGGGTTGTTCTCCGTTACTACTTGGAGGGCTTTGACCGTCGCGGCATCTGGCTCGTCTTGCGACGAGCCATCTCCTCCGCCGTGGCGAGTCTCGGCGTCTCCGGAAGGACAAGTATCTTGCCGTCAGACAGAGGCACATTGTCGTCGTCGTAGTAGGCAGTGTCGACTGCCTTGGGTCGGCTAGTCTCTCCTGCCATGCGGGCTACCAACTTGGTCGCCGAAGCTCCCGTGGTATCGGCCCCGGAAAACGCAGTTGCTTGGTCGGCAGGTGTTGTTGACTCTCCAAAAGAAAACGCCACGCTGCTCGGATCCTCGAACTGTTTAAATAACGATGGAACAGGTGCTGTCCCAAGAGTGGCCGGCAGGTTCGGGACGGCGGGGAGGATAAATCCTCCCTGCTCGATCTCGTCGAACGCTGCATATAGGTCCGTCTCAAGTTGAGCATCCACGTCCAATTCGTTGTCACTGTCGGCAGCAGTTGCAGCGACGAGAGGCAATAGCATCTCGTAATCCGCAAGCAACTGTGCCTCAGCCTCTGAGGTTGCTGACAGAACAGGCTCGGCCGCGTCATCTTCTGGAGCTGCAGAGGGGAGAGGCTCGCGCGTCTCGGGTCCCTTGGAAATAATATGCAGGTCCTTCTCCAGGATGTCGAGCGGGTCGAGGTCGTCAGCGTGAACTGGGGCCATCACTCCTGGTTCACTGGTGTTGGGAACATTGAAGTTATCAACGCTGGGCTCCTCCACCTCGGCACAGTCCACCACCTGCTGAGGACCAGCGTCAACAGGGGCTTCTCTGGCTTCGGTCTCGGGCTTGGTATCAATCTTCGGACCCAAGTCTTCAAGGACACGTTCTGGAACTGCGGTCTCTTGCTCCGTCCCCGGTGGGCAGCCATAGCCGTCCTCCAGCTCAGGATCAGATTCCTCTAGGATGGCGTCCAGATCTTGCGACACGGCAACTGGCACTGGTGATTCCTCATACGAGGCCCGAGTAACCTGAAGGCGCGCAAACGAGTCCAAGAAGTCTTGAGGGGGCACGAACGAGGTCGGTAAGGCTTGAGGGAGCACAAACACATCCGTCATCTCTGTATTAGGTGATCCATTCAAGAATGGGCCTGTCACAGTGTCATCAGGACGGTCTGGAAGCTCGATGTCCTCTTCGCCGTTTCCGATGGAACTTTCCTCCCACATGCGCTGATCTCCAGCCGGTTGGGTTTCTTCCCACTCGATACTCTCGTGAGAATGAATGGAAGCTGAATCCTCCAACATGGGGTCAGCTTCCACAACCGCCGGCGAAGGAGAAGAGGCACGGATTGGTATGTCCGTAAGCACGTTAGCCGCTTGAATCTCGCCCATAGTGATGTCCTCCTCATACGAGAAGATCATCGGGTCCGATTGGTGAACGACCTCCCGCTGGGGAGTGTCGTGGGCCTGGCTTTCGTTCTGCTCCTGGGGCAGGGACACGACGGTCGACTCCGCTCCCACAGTGATCTCGCCCACTCCAGATTGGAGCTCAATGGCTGCAGGCTGGCTAGGACTAGCAACAGCTTGTAGCTGGGGAGTACTGATGGGGGTGGGATCTTCCACAGTGGCCATCGCTGTCACGGGTTGAGACGCGAGCAAAAGCTCGTCCTCTTCCTGATCCAGACGATCAAGCACCTTGTTGGTCATCTCCAAACAAGGTTCCTCTGCCCCGGTTCCCGGAACAACTGCGGTAACTTCCGTCTTCTGTTGTTCCTCTGTTGTCTGTGACTGTGTATCCACGGTCATCACAACGGGCTCCTTTTCTAGAGAAACTTCCTCTGCTGTGCAGACTGGTTCCTTTTCGATAATCAGAGCTACCTCCTCCGGGCGTACTGGCTCCTGAAGCGCAGCAGAGGCCCTCGGTGAGGTACTCGTCGTTTCTTCCAGCTGGTTGGACAGTGCCACGATATCTCTCTGCGCCTGCAAAGCATCCTGCTCGCGTAACGCTTCGAGAACTCGCTGCCGGATCAAGAGGTTCAGGACTTCACGCTCCAAACGCAAGTTCCTTTGCCTCAATTCCTGAGCTGGCTCGTCCAACTGACGACGCAGATCTTGCACCTCTGTCTGCAACTGTGTCACCTTGTCATCAGACTCGGCGAGTTGCGCGTCCTTTCGACGAATAATTCCATCTACTTTGGACTCAAGTGATGAGATCTGGTCGCCCAATGTTCCGAATGCCGTCTTGACATAACTAGTCAAGCGGTCAACGGAAGCATTCAGCTTCTCCAGCTCTGCCTGTGTGCCTGTAATCGGCATCTGCTTTCTCTTGCCAAAATAGCGAAGATTGAGCGTTCCAGGAGTAATAGATCGTCGGGGAGAAGACGATCGGGAGGGAGACGATGATCGGTAAGAAGAAGGTGGGTGACGAGGAGGCGATTGATGAGGCGAAGGAGGTTGGCATTCCTGACCAGCAGGGGCCTGAGAGACAGTGGCATCAGCACACTGCTCATCCTCCAGGTCGGAGAGGGGTCGGCAATCCAAGGAATCAGTATCGAGGAACTCGTCGTCGCTAGACTCAGAGTCCGATCCCGAGGAGCCGTCTCCGCCTTGCTCATTCGAATCGGCCGGCTGTTGCTGTGAACTCAGCTCGGGAAAGACAAGGCGAAAGCCATTGGCGAATCCTTTGCGAGACACTGCGCCAGCGAGGGTGAGAGCCAGGTTGGTGGTCTTTAACCCATCAACAACAATCAAGAACAGAGCGGGAACGCTCACGAGGAACCAGAGTCGGAGGAGGTCGTCAAAACAACCATCCCAACCATCTGGACGCTCGCCCCACTGCATGCCCCAAGGTTCGTACGCGAGTACTCCCCAAGTATACATGAGGGTGACGTTCAAGATTGCCGAGAGTTTGACCACTGGCATCTTATGTACACCAAAGGTGTGCATGAAGATAACCAACACAGCCCACATAAGGAACTGTGTCAACCGGTCGGCGTCGTACAGGGCCCAGTTGATGACTGGGAGAATGACCGATGGTATGCAAAAAATTGCAACCAGGCACTCAACCAGCGGCAACTTGGGGCCGCTCCAAAACTGCCAGATACGCGACGCCACGGCATCCATGTTCACAAGGGACAGGTTGCTCATCGTGCCGGATCCGTCCAGAAGTTTCCAAAGGCCTACGGCGTTGGTTGCAACTGGGGAGTTAGGAGAGAGGAGAGAGAGAGAGTGACTGCGAGGAGAGAATGCTTCAAGAAGAAATGCACTGCGTGCAAGAGAGAGATGATTGCGTCGGCGACGAAAAGTGCGAATTGCTTCGAAAAGATTGCGGTAACTCTTGGTACGATGACGAGAGACTGAAGAAGAAAGAAGAAAGAAAAACAAAAACAAGAGGAGGGAGAAGGCCATTAAATAGTTGCCGGGGAGGGAGGCGCGCCTTAAGGTGCAAATTAATTCTGAGAGAGCCCTGAGCTTCTGAGCGATCTGAGCCAAAGGTGAGAAGCAGGTGAGAAGCGGGTGACTGGCGGCTGTAGACGACCGTCAGGCGACTGCACAGGCAATACAGCACTAACTTTTCAGGACACAGTTACTGAAGAGCGCCATAACGCATAGCACAATAGTGGCAGAGCCCAATATTTCCAGGTCATCAGGGACGTTTTCATTGTGAGTGAATCGGTGGGTGGTTGATTCGTTATTCACTGGGTTCCCGCGGTGATTCTGCGTCACTCAGATGGCCGCCTGCACCACTTGTTCACAAAGCGCCATGAAACTAGCTGGACGTCCCGCAAACAATGGGCACTTGTCCGGATCTAAGGAATAATCATAGCTGTATCGACGGAATCAAAGGTACCCGTCCCTTAGTTTAAAGAACTCAAGCAAACAAACGACGCACATGGGCAGGCTCCCCTTTGTGCAACAGTCGAGAGCCTCAGGGTCCACGCGTATCCTTTCTTCTTTGGCCTTATGCTTAACTAAATGGAATTTGATTCTACAGGACGTAGCTATTAAGCTTATACAAAAATGCCCGTCGCTCGACTACCCTGAACCATTGTTATGATTCACAATAGCTATCCTAGATACCACGCCAAACTCCGACCATCCAAGCCCATCATCAATCATTATGGTATACGTAGTGCATAGAGTCCGAGAGTCTGATGAAAAATAAAAAAATGAAAAAAGAACAAGAAACCAAGCAGAGACCCGATTACGCCTTCTTCCCCCTTGCAATGAGCCGCTCATGCAACTCAACTGCAACGTCACTCCAGACCTCCTCTGGCCCCATCGTAACAGTCTCCCCGAGTTTCGTAGACAGAAACTCCCCGATCTTGGAAACGTTGAAATGCTCGCCGTAAATGACACGAGCCTCGGGGGAGATGTCCACCACGATGCCTTGCGGGCTGTTTCGCCCATGTAGATTTAAGACGACCTCGACGCGGGTTGCCAGAGGCACCAGCAGCAATGAGCTGCACACAGCGACACTTGTGTCGGAAGTCTTGGATACAGTCGTAGGGAATGAAGTGTTCACTCGTTTTATTTGCGACGACACTTTGGTAGCCTTGTCCCATCCCAATCGAACTACCGCCAAGACATCGCTTACTGTAGTTCGACCAGGAGCCAGGGTGCAAACATGATTGCGAATGCACTGAACAAAGAACTCTTTCTCGGCTGTACGCGGGAGGGGATCTGTGTCACGGCTATCGGCAATGTACCACAAATCAATCTTGAGGCTTGTCGCTGAGCCACCAAATGCCGAAATGTCGAAAACAAGCTCGATTTCCCGTCGGTAGGTCATCGAAATCATGGTTCCCTTGATACCGCTCACTGACCAGCCATGCTCAGCTTCGATCGCGTCGACTCGGGCTGCCGTTCATGTTAGCATACGATCCAAAATATAAGGCATTAGAGTAATCTTGCATCTCACCTTTAATGGCGTCAATCTCAGCGCTGGTCCATCCGCGGCATTCCTCCCGTACTTTCTCGGCTTCTTTGATTTCTGAAATGCAGAGCTGCTTTTTCGTAGTCAAGGTCTCGACGTCCTTCTCTGAATCCTCATACAGTTTTCGTAACTCGGCAATCTGCTTTTTCTTGGCGGCGATGTCATGATCCAGACGGGAGAGATCGTCTCGCGCAGCCTCTAACTCGCCAGGATCACAATCAGCCAGCTCTTGTGCGGCTTCTTCAAGATTCTGGGCTTGCTCCCGCAGCACATCATAGTTCTCCACCATTTTGGGTAAGACGGATCGGAGCAGGTTAGCTTGAGTCTGCAAAAACTTGTCATCTGTGTCCAGGTCGTCCAGAATTCTGATCAGGCCTTCCTTGAGTCCATCTTGGAGTTTCATTCTCCACTCATACCACATGGCTTTGCTCAGCAGACGAGCGTGAGTCTTGACATTTTTAAATTGGTTGTCCATGAGGGCCTTCACCTCCGGGGTAGCGGAAATATACTCGCGGAAGAGAGGCGGATTCTCTTCAAAAGTGTCGGTTTCGATCTCCTTAACTATCCGCCGACCTTCCGAAATGTACTTCTTGAGCTCTCGACAGGAGTGCTGATAGAGTTCGAGCGTGGGAACTGTGCATGCACCAGCCACAACACATCGCTCTAGAGATAGATCATCACGTCCGTCAGATAACGAGCCGTCCTGTAGAATGCTGGGGGCAACAGTCTGGCGACGCTTCGTTGTCGTGAGCTCCATAAATCGAATTGAGGTCATGTTGAGAAAGTCCTGCAGATGAAGACGATCCCCTGGTATCTCGTCCTCCTCGTCATTATCGTCTGAATCCTGTCTATCTAGAACGCTGGTGACTGTCTCGTCATCGATACCGCCGAAACGCGTAACACGGACAGGGCTTCTTTGATTGCGATTCTTTGTCGGAGAAACCAGAGTCGGGGCAGTCTCCTCCTTCGAAGGGGGATTCTGGAGTCTGATGTTTTTCACAGGGCTAGCTTGATGATTTTTGAGCCTCTTGACTCCATCTTGCTCCTCCAATTCAGCTTCCTCGTCAAGCTCGATGGGACGCTTTCCCAGGAGACCCCTGGCACTTCCTACATGAAGGCTCTTTCTTCCCTTAAATGGATTGTGCTTTGGGCTGAGGCTATCGATCATCTCTCTAAGATTGAGGGTTGCATTTTTGTCCTCCTGGGAAGCTTCTAGCCCTCTCTCCAAGTTTTCTTGATCGTTCATGTCATCCTCAAACTCTTTGGGATCTTGAAAGACAACTTTTCCTTGTCTGGGAACGAACTCCGTAGCAGCTTCTCCAAGAGAGGTTCTACGGTCAAACAAGGCAGTCACTCGTGGTGACCCAAGGCCATTTCGATCAGCGCCTACCCCAGTCAGCTTGCGCTGAGGCGTGAGAACCAAGGGAGAGCTTTGAAGTTGAGGTTGTGTATGCGGCCGGAAAATTGATGACGGGGTAGACAAAAGGTTGGCGGGTGAGTTGGTCTTTTCGGCAGTTGTTGCTGCTGAATTTTTCTCGGGCGACGAGAGGCGCGCGCTTCGACGAGAGCCTTGTGCGCTTTTCAGCGGCGACGACGAGATAGAAAGAGCTCGAGATGTAGGAGTTTTGGCTGGCGAAGGCGTTCGCGATGTTAAACGTCTTGAAGGCTGAGGGGTTTCGTCTAACGGCAACAATGGTTGTACGTTACTATGACGGAGCCCTTTCCCTCGGAAGGCAGACAGTCCAGGACTTTGATTATCTACTGGCGCTTGGGTTGCGGCTTTTCGAGGACTTGATCTCTTCGCAGGAGAGCTCGACTTCCGGCGGCCAGGTGGCATGGTTTTTTGTGGTGGCGTTTTCAAAAAGTCATCATCCTCCTCAGGTGTTTGCTGGCTGAGCTCTTGTGTGCTGTCAGTCTTCTTATTCAGAATTCCTCCAATGGCGGTAGTGATATCCATTCCCATTGTTTCGTCCTCATCATCTCCAGCCAAATCAATGTTAGCCTGAGGAAGAATACGTCCGACTCCAACAGTCATGTCCATCGTGAGATCTCCAGCCTCAGTGTTCTGAGCTAAAGATTTGCGGCTACTCGCAGCCATGCTCTTCCTCTTTTGCTTCCCAAGAACACCACCCATGATAGTTGTAAGTTCCATCGACATGTCCTCGTTGTCGTCCGACTCGTCCGACTCAAGCACTTGGTTACGAATTCCACCGATCGCGGTAGTAAAATCCATCGTGGCTTCTTCCATTGGCTCATCTTCCTCCTCTGGCGAGGCTTGCTTACTCTGTTTCTTTCCACTCTGTCCGATGATTCCTCCATAAGCACGAGTGACGTCCATGGACATATCCTCCTCCATAGGAAGCTCGTTGTTAGGCTTCAGAATCTTCCCAACAGCACTGGTCATTTCCATGTCCATATCCATATCCATCTCTGTGCCATCTTGGACTGGGCTGCTTGGCTCCTCAAAGGACCCTGCTGCCGCAGGCGGAGGGTTTTGCGGTTTAGTTGATGCTTGGTCTCCTCCCTTCTTGATCCATCCAAATGAGGGGATGATCTCTTCTTCTTCCTCTTCAGATTCATCGTCTAATCTTTGCATGCCGGCTCGATGGGCTGCAAGACGCAGCGCTTCATCAAGAGTTGAAGACTCTCCCTCATCATCATCGAAAGCGTCAGTTCTGTCATCAGTTCTGTCCGAGCCCATCGAAGTGCCAGTCATGTCCTCTGTAACCATGGTCATCATGGTACCGTCGTCCGAATCGCTATTGGAGTCTTCACCATCATCTTCTTCGACAATATCCTCCTCAATTGCATCAACAGGCTCGGAATCAGAGCTGTACCCTGTGGTGCCAGTGTCGTCGCGTCGAAAATGAGGAGCACCTGAAGAGAGATTGTCCTGATCTCTTCCATAATCGTAGTTCCCTCCATCTTCAGCGAACTCATCGTTGACTTGCGCCTGCTCCCGTGACCCTGAGCTGCGGTCATTCCCTGAGCCGCCAGCATTATTAGATACCGAAGAGCGTCGCCGAGACGACACCGCCTTGTCCTGCATGTATTCGATGTCGTGGAAAGTGTGAAGAGTGGCCTCCGCCGCAAAGGAAACTCGGCGGTTCGCCAGTGACTTGCGCCGGGCATCGCGCCTCTCTCTCTCTTCGCGCTCGCGCGCAGCAGCCTGTTGTTCCTCTTCCGTTCGCAAGGCGATTTTGGAGCCATTTAATTTATCAAATTGTGATCCGGATAATGTATCGTCCGCTCCGGATTTCTTTGAGCCCTCATTATTCAAAGATGGTATCTCGGGGAGTGGGTTGACGTGGGTTTTCAATATCGATCGCGGGGGTTTGGATGGTGCTGCAATGGACTTGACGATACGTTAGCAGGTCAAGTTGCATGTTGCAGAAACCTCTCAAAACTCACGGCTCTTCGGTTCCCATTACCATGCTTTAAAGCATCCAGTCCACCAGGTCCCAGACTCTTGCTTCTTAGCTTTCGGTTCATCGCGAGCGAGTTGCTTCCCAGATCCATGGTCACGTTCTCTTTATCTGCTGCCTTGCGGGCATCAGTGTGCGCGCCAATCGATTTTCGTACACGGCGTGTGGGCGGAAGTGTCGTCTGCCCTGAAGAGGACATCTTGTGTTTGAGCGCGACCAACTTCTTATCGACAATGGTATAGCGGGAAACAGTCGCTCATGGCTCCCACTACACGAGTGTTGATGATTGATACCAGACCACGGCGCGTTTGTTTACTTTCCCTTCTCGGCCTAGTGTATGCTTAATTGACCTCGACAGAGTGATGTAAGTGAATGTGGAGTGGGTATCGATAAGCCAGCCAAGGTCACGTGAAGATACCAGACAATCATCACGTGCTTCAGAAAGCTGGTCCCCCCACAAAGAGGTCTAGCCACCAATCGAAATTTTGTAAGCCCTAAGGTGGGAAGTCGATGCAAAATTTGGTGCGTGTATGTGCCCTATTTTCTGATCCGCGCAAAACAATCCTCGACCTTATCACACGCCCAGCCAACTCCCTTACGACACGCCCAATTCTTGCCTGGCAAACGATCATTCAAGATGTCAGTATTGCGACTCGATCAACATTAAACAAATCGAATACTAACCGAAGTGCAGGGCGACCGAGTTGACCGTCCAGTCGGAGCGTGCTTTCCAGAAGCAGCCTCATATCTTCCAGAACTCCAAGGTCAAGACCAAGTCTGCCCGACCTGGCAAGGGCGGCCGAAGATGGTATAAGGATGTTGGTCTGGGTTTCCGTACCCCCAAGACTGCCATTGAGGGCAGCTACATCGGTATGTGCGAATTGGCCCTCGACCGGGCACACGACGGAACCGAGCCAAGATTGGAGGCGGGAACTTCACAAGCGAAGCGAGGAGGAATATCGGGCACAGTCATACTAACGGCTCTGCAGACAAGAAGTGCCCCTTCACCGGTCTCGTCTCTATCCGTGGCCGTATCCTGACCGGCACCGTCGTTTCCACCAAGATGCACCGAACTGTCATCGTCCGCCGCGAGTACCTCCACTTCATCCCCAAGTACTCCCGATACGAGAAGCGCCACAAGAACCTCGCTGCCCACGTCTCCCCCGCTTTCCGTGTTGAGGAGGGTGACCAGGTCACCGTTGGCCAGTGCCGTCCTCTGAGCAAGACTGTACGTTTGGCAACCAAAAAATGGCAATGCGTATTACGTTGGAGGGGAAGTGCTGACAAAATTGGTTCTAGGTCCGATTCAACGTCCTTCGCGTGCTGCCCCGAACTGGCAAGGCAGTCAAGAAGTTCAGCAAGTTCTAAAAAGTTGAACCCTTCTTCTGGCATTTTTGGCGTGGTAAACATCAGGGGGGATGAGGTTATTCCCACTGGAGGGTCGGGTACCGGAAGCTATGTTGCAATGATTGTGCTATATTACAATCGCGAATAAAAAAGATTTCATGACAGCAACGGGTGCGGTGTCTAAAAACTTTGGCCCTTTCGAAATCGAGGCGCACTGGTTTTATTCCATGTTCATTTGCTCGGGTCTGTAGACAGGGTTTCAATGGGATCATACTGACCTTTGCCTTGCTTTACTAAGTTGACCACCTTGTGACCTATGAACTGTATAGCCCGCCATCATGGCTAATTGGTCTCGATCAAGCTATGTAATGATCTACTTCTTATTGTCACCTGTGTTCACGCAGAGTAGTGAGCTCAATTTGTCGTAGATGCAGGTCCGTCATAATAGCGATCCCAATCCTCTCCAGAACCATTAATCCATCCTACAGCATTCAGCCACAGTAAAATTGACCGTGGTTGTTGAATTGCTACCTTAGTCACCGGTGCTTGGCTACGATCCGCAAATTCAGGATAGGTTTTCCACGGCGGGGCAATCCATGCCGCAACGAGCCGACCCCTGCAAGTCTAGCTCCCATGTTAGCGATTTCGACCTCGAACAAAAAGCTTCACCTTCATCAAAACCCCCAAAATCCATAAACACATCCGGCGCAATGGGCTGGTGGCCATTCGGAGGTGGCCAGGCGGCCGACCCAATTAACAAGCTCGACCCAAAACTCCGCGAATTCCTCGAGAAGGAGTCGCCCGTCAAATATCAGCAAAGACCAGACAAGCCTGAAGAGCGAAGCAGCCCTGCAGCGACAGCAACGACGACAGCCCAAGCACCCGAAGAGAACAAGCCGCTGGTGCCGGAAGCCAGTCTATACCAAGACGGCCGCTATGCGCACCTCTGGAAGAACTACAAGCCGCAGGCGCAGATCGAGGCCGAGTCCGCGACCGACCACGAGAGGCTCATCGGTGTCCTGGAAGGCTACCAGGATCGCAAGTCGGCCATCACGCGGGTCGCCATGGAGAACTGCGCAGAGTTCCAGGAGGCCTGGATCAATTGCTTCAAGCAAGGCGAGTGGAAGGACCGGGTGCAGATGTGCAGGCACCAAGTACGGAAGTTTGAACAATGCTACACAATGCAGTCGGTATGATGAACCCCATGCGAATTTCTGCGAATACAGACGGCTACCCTGGCCAATTGGATAGATGCTGATATGACTTGGATATCACAGAGGTTTCTCCGAGCTCTTGGATATGGGTCGGTGCCAGGCCGATCTGCCCAGGTAGAGGAGGACATTCAAATGCACGCCGATGCGCTATACCAGCGCGTATTAGACCACGAGAAGGCCGTGGAGCAGGCTAGGATTGACGGCACACCCATTCCGAAATTCGACCCCGTCATTCCCAAAGCAGTTACCAAGACCACGGTCCAGCCATCGGAGGAGGTCCAGCAGCAATGGAGGGAGCAGCTGGAGAAGCTACCGGAGGAAGAACGGGCGGTGGAGGAGGCCGCCCTCAGGGTCGACTTGCAGGCCAAGTCGGAGGTTGCCCGCGACATGAGGCAGATTTTAGAGTCCCAGAAGAAGGACCAAAAGCAGACCAGGGTCTCGGATGGCCAAGGGAGCATCGCCAACACCTTGACTTCTTGGCTTACAGGAGGGAAATAAGTTTGTACTCCTTTTGGATATCCCGACCTTGCTTCAAGGGCTTCCGAATGTATTACCACGTGTATATCATGTATTCCATAGAGCTTTACACATTGGCTGCAACGACCGACATGGGAAATGAAATCGATTCGATGGGTGGCACTCCTACTATGATCATTCGGGCTCGAGAACAGTGGTACAAGTAAGGTTGTTTAACAGCTTAAAACAAAGTTGACAAGATCCATTTTACGTAGAACAAGAACGGGGCTTGCTTCTGAACCGGATACGACAATTGAATGTATCAAGGGTATAAATTGCTTATATGTAGAACTTTATAGTGACTCCCCATCATCCACGCCCATCTTGATCGCTGGGAGTGCTTAGCAGCAACCTTCCTCACAGGCGCAGAGGCCACAGCAGATCTCACATCCAGCTTCCTCACCACCTCGCAGGCTCATCTCGGGCTGAGGCTCAGCGGTCTGTCACGATATCTAGGTTAGCGTCCATGCTCGGCCGTGTTTCCAGTGACAACTCAACGATCATGATCTGGACATACAGGCTGGGCGGAAACAATGTCGTCCGTGACGTCAGTCATGGGAGCTTGCTGCTGGGGCTCGGCAACGGTAGGCATTTTGAAAGGTGGTAGAGGAGAGAAGAAGAAGCTTATTGCGAAGAGTGGGTGTGTAAGTGAGAATGGTTTGGCTTGGGGATATCACGGCAAGCGATCCAAGGAGAGAGTGGCATTTTTATACCCATTGGTTCGATTAATTACCTATGACCGCCTTATCATCCTTCTCCTAGTATGGAATACCTCATTAATCCGGCGCGTCTGTTAGTCCTGTGAGGCCTCACGACGTGGCAAGGTGTGGCTTGTAGCCGGATAGCCGTCGATACGATGCTGGGTGTGCCGAAATATCCGTATGGCTTGTTCCCCGTCCATCACATTGACTTTTGGCGTTTTGCTAAAGGTAAACTGGGCCGCTCCCGCCCGCTGAGGCAAGTGGCTAGTGCCTGCGTCCAGACTCCTGACGGTCGGCCCTTCGAGGCCGCGTAAGGCTGGTGTTGAGGGCGTCCCAAATCAGCCGTAGCGAAATGTGCCGATGCCGAACTTCCGAATCTGCGGTAATGCCGTTTGACACAACGTGGGCTGGACCCATGAAATTATGCCCAGGGCAATGTTATGAAGCATGCAGGGCCAATTGCTTTTCCTCTGACTGGTGTGGGCGTATAAGTGTTTCATCAGCTCTACGAATATGTGGAGGGCTTAACGAATGCCAAAGCCACCGAAAGTCTGCTCAATTGAGCCGAAGACTATGACATCAGAGAGCCCACTGCATTGTTCTTGGAATTCGCACTCGAAACGGGAAAGCAACCGAACTTCTGCAATCCGTTGGTTTTTAACATTCGTTAGTTAAAAATGGCATTCCGTGCACCTGTCTCGCCAGTCAAGCGAGATGGCTTGGTAGCGGTGGAGCTGGTTGTTTGTTAGTCGCACATCACCAAATACCAAATAGGGAGATCATCAACGAGCACAGACATGTCACACTTGATGTTTGCTGCTCAGAGCAATCGACGAGATGGTCCAGCAAAACTCATCGATTGTTCTCTCGACATGATTCTGGATTCTGTGAGCAGTACCGGAGAGGCTATCCAGCCATTCATTGCTTGGATAATCTCGCGGCTTTGAAACGACTTGGTCGCTTTCCTACTCCTCCTTCCGTTTCATCTACTGGTTGAGTTGGAGATTCTTTCTCCTCTAGGAACCCACCTTCTCGCTGAATGAATTTTCTTCTCAGCCGGTGGTGTTCCGCGGCAATTTCCTGGTGGAGTGTAATATCAGTCAGGTCATCGTCAGCCGGCACCACACCTGGTGTGGTTTCCCGCTCCACGAGCTGGTCAGCAATGGTCTTCCCCTCTGGTCCAGTTGGAGCTGTAGGTCTGTCCTGATCCAGAAATACCGGTGACACATCCAGAGGGCCTTTCGGCAAAGCTCCAGCTTCGGGGGCACCATTCATGGTTTTCTTAAAACGCGAAGGCTTGCGGTTTGATGGAGTCTCCGTGGGTTTTGAGGAGCCAGACCGTTCAACAACAATGTCCGATAGTGGCTCAACGATAGCTTCCTTCTGTGTTGTAGGAGCTGCGTCTGTGGCCTTTGGGGTTTTCTCAGGGGCAATGTCCAGATTCTCAGCAAAGCGAACACCTTTCTTCTTGGGCTTGACCTCTGTTTGATCGGTGCTCGGCTGAACTGAAGAAGATGCATCTTCCCCACGAGTCACCACAATACGGCCAATGCCTTCATCGCCTGAGCTTTCGTCCTCGACTTCCTGGACTCTAGCCTCCTGAGCTTCTTCGGCCTCCATCTTAGCGGTGAATCGAGACTTAACGCCCAGCTTTTTCTCTAGTTCGAGCATGCGTTGACGGTAATCATCAGTGACGATGCTGCCGGTAAACCTTCCGTATTTGTCTTCGTGGTCATAATCTTCGTCCTCCAAGTCAGCATCGCTGTACTCAAACTCGTAATCTTCCTCTTCGTAGTCACTGGTCTGGTTCTCCTCTATTTCGAGCTCAGCAACGACAGCCCCGATTTCGCCCATGCTGTATCGTAGCATTTCCTCTCGTAGGGCGGCATCCTCAGGAGACTCGTTGGCAGGTATTACTGGCTTCTCTTTAAGAATAGCATCCTGGCCTTTGGCTGCATCCATAATGTTCTCTACCCGGGCAGCCATCCTCGATACAGCCGGCTTGACCTCTTCAACATCATCGTGGGTTTCTGCGAAGGAGACCTTCTTTTTTATTTGTTTCTTGGGAGCTGGTTCGTCTTTTCGTTTGGACTCTGCAGCATGCTTTTCCTTTGGTTGTACCTTTGAAGGGACCTCTTGCTGTGATGTTTGGGCCTGAGTGCTCGCCCGTCCGGAATCCTCCTTCGCATCCTTCTTCGCCGCAGCAAGATCCTTGACAAGATCTTTGATGCCAGCCTTCTTTAAGGCTTCTTCGATATGCGGCACCCCTTCGCCAGGCCTGTTCAGTTTGAACGAGATGACATTGTCGTCCTCATCGAGTTCTTCGACGATTTCGGTAATGGGCTGGCCTTCTTCATCCCGAGCATCGGGCTGACTGATGATCGACGCAGCGGCGTACTTATTCTCAGCCGCCTGGAGCTGCTTCTGAAGCGTTTCAATGTTCTTGGTAACATAGTCTATTCGCCGTTCTAGAACATTGATGATCTGGTCCTTGGACTTCTGGCCCGTCAAGCCGAAAATCTCGCCGATTTCTTTTTGCTTCACCAGTTCTCCGTCGTAGTCGGTCTGGATGCGCTCAAGCTCGTCTGGCGACGGACCCGCTGCTGTGACCTCTTCCTTCAGTCCTTCATACTCAGCGTCCCACGTTTGCCAGTGCTGCAAAGCCTTCCGCAGTTCTATGATTTTGTCCTGTAGAAGAATGCGATGTCTTTCGAGGTCAATCAAACTATCTTTGACCGGAGCCATACTGAGTCGATGTGAAGGAAAAGTACCAAAGCCGAAAAAAAATTCATCTTGAACGCATGGGTAATAGCCACATCCAGTGGCGAGGCTCCACCAAGAACGGCGTTGGTGAATCTTCGGTTAAACTGCCCCGAACTTATCCTTTGAAAAGCTGCCTATCTACCCTAGATACTTGATCTACAGTGATTGTTACGAGCTACCTGCTTCTGGCAAAATCCAATCATGGTGACGTGAATTTGGAGATTGACAGGAAGGGCGCGGCAGATACGTGAATACGTTCACGGTCTAACATAAGAAAAAGTATATATTCAGGATGAATCCAGGCGTCTTTTACCTCTTTTGGTTCTTTAATTAACGACTTGCCTTCATCATTAAACACCTAGGATCCTAGAGCATAGCACTTGTTTAACTCAAATTCACTGCATCATGGCATCCGAGGATAAGACCAAGCTTTTGGAAGCCAAGTGCTTCTGTGGTTCCGTGCACTTCACCGTTGAAGTTCCCATTGCCGCACTCCCCCTACCAGTTCACCTTTGCCATTGCACAGTATGTCGTTATCGCTCTGGTGCGCCATGTGTATTCCACACCAAGCTGCCAAAAGAGGCACCCATGAAGTTCATATCGCCTTCTGTAGAGGCAAATATGACAGTCTATACTTTCGGAGAGCGCGTATCGGCTTGGAATTTCTGCTCGACATGCGGATGCCACATCACCTCTGTGGATCGTGACGATGGTCACTGGACCGTCTCGACATCCATCTTCAAGGACCACGGACCTGAGAATTTCCAGATCAAACGGCACATCTACAGTGATTCGACGTTCGATCATGGGCTTTCTAATATCATATCCCAAGTCGACGGGCTCCAACTTGAGGACTGGAACCCTCCTCACGATGACCCAAGCTCCGAGACTTTGGTCCCGAAGCTTGAGCATGGCGCACATGGTCAGGAGCGGCTGCGAGCCGAGTGTCACTGTGGCGGCGTGTCATTCACCATCGGTCGCCCAACCAAGGATGTGCTCGAGGATGTACAGCTCAAAGAATTTGTCTCCTCTCTCGATCAGACGAAATGGATGGCATTGTATGACACCTGTGATGACTGCAGGCTCCTCAACGGAACCCACCTGGTGGGATGGACCTTTATTCCCCTCTCCACATGTAATCCTCCCATCGCGAGAGATCTAAAGATAGGTACTGCAAAAACGTACCAGAGCTCACCAAATGTCTTGCGTTCATTCTGTGGAACTTGCGGCGCGACAGTCTTCTTCACCTGCGATGAGCGCTGCCCAAAAGGAGGGGAGTCGGTCGTCGATCTCGCGACTGGAATCCTGCGGGCCACTGAAGGTTCAATGGCTGAGAAATGGTTGACTTGGCGATCGAACCCTGCTTGGCTGCCGTCTGGAAAACAGTATCATCGCGCTTTCAGTGAGGCTTTGGAACAGGGAATGAAGGAGTGGGCATTAGATCACTATAATCAAGAGGTTCGCCAGGTTATTCCCGATAACTTATCACCTCCCAGTTGATCAAAACGGCAAATTGTTTGCTGATACGAGCCATTATGTTGTAAATGATGCGGTGCGGGCGGTTGAATGTTAGATAGCGAATCGTGTGGAGGGTTGATTGAATTAAGAATTAAATTTGTCGCGAGATTTGAATTGAGGACCCTCAATTTGCTCACCTACAACATAATGACACAATCGGCTGTGATGCGACTCTAAAACACTCCAATCCCCAAAGTGTAACCGCAATCTTTCATTCGATGGTAAAACCACTAAAACGAACGTTTGCGCCTGGCGTAAAGCTTGCATCCATCCTCTCTTGTCGCCAATACATCCGATGTATGGCTTCGTCCACTCGCTCATACAACGTGAGTGGAAGACCCCTGCGCAGCCTATGCGAAATCACTAATAAGAATATAGAATGCGATCGATTCTCTCAACTCCCTCCAAACTTCTCATGCGGCTTTCAAAGCGCGGATAAAGGCTGGCATCAAGCCTGATGCCTCCTCAATCGCAGAGATGAAGACATATATACGCCGTCTTGGCTATACAGTGTGTAAAGCCAGGCTCATTGCCTTAAACTATCTTCATAAGATACAAACCATGTCAGACTGACTGTTTCCCTTAGACGTCTGATCTCGATCGTCTAAACATCATCCATGTCGCTGGCACGAAGGGAAAAGGCACTACATGCGCCTTCGTCGATTCTATTCTATCCCGTTATCGGACTGCACATGGAGTTCCTCGCAAGACGGGGCTCTTCATCTCCCCTCATCTAGTCTCGGTGCGAGAACGGATACGTATCAATTCCGCACCGATACCTGAGGCTCTGTTTGCGAGGTATTTCTTCGATGTATGGGACCGTTTAGGATCGGCAGCCGAACAAGATGGCGTTGAGAAAGCAGATCAGGAAACCGGCTCCCCTCTGGACATTAGACCTACATACGCTCGCTTTCTGACACTGATGAGCTGGCACGTCTTCTTGCAAGAAGGCGTCAATGTAGCTGTTTACGAAACGGGAATTGGTGGCGAGTTTGACGCAACAAATGTGGTTGAGCAGCCGGTGGCTACCGGTATCAGCAGCTTGGGAATTGATCATATCTTCGCACTCGGAGACACCATCGAGAAAATTGCGTGGCACAAGGCGGGGATTATGAAGACTGGTTCCCCAGCCTTCACCATCGAACAAGTTCCCGCTGCTCAACAAGTCCTCCAAGAAAGAGCAGACGAGAAGGGTGTGGATTTGCAAGCTCTCAAAATTGACCCTCGGCTTCAAGACGTGCGAATACATCCAGATGCCGAATTCCAGAAGAAAAATGCAACCCTTGCGACTGCCCTGGCGGAGACTGCCTTGGCACGACTCGGGGTCTTGACACCGCACCAGGATGTTCTGCCTGATGAGTTCCGAAAAGCACTCGAGGGCACTGTATTCCGCGGACGTTGCGAAATTAAGGCTGAAGACCAAGTGGTTTGGCATCTGGACGGTGCACATACGGCCGACAGTCTTACGCTCGCTTCCAAATGGTTTGCTAATGAGACGTCTGGACAGTAATGAGATGCCCCCCAAGCCCCGCCAGTGTTTCTTCAAGTATCCATTGCTAACGATATATTCAGAGTCGGACCGCGAGTCTTGGTGTTCAACCAACTCGGCCGAATCGAGGCCATCGACTTCCTAAATCTGATTTTCGCTGCCAACAAGCAGGAGAATGGCCCGCCATTTAGCCATGTCATATTCTGTACAAATATCACGCACGCCCAAACCGGTTACAAACGCGATTTCGTCAATAACCAATATGATACCAAGGAGATTGAGTCTCTAACAGTGCAAAGGAGATTTGCTGAGAGATGGTCGTCTTTAGATCCTGACGTTTCGGTTGTAGTTTTACCAACTATCGAGCAGGCTCTTGCTCATGTCCGAGAACTTAGAGTTGCCAGGCCAAACAGAGATGAAAAGATTCAAGCTTTTGTCACGGGCAGCTTGCATTTGGTTGGTGGTGCACTGGGCATATTAGAGAATGCCGATGCTCTTTAGGTGTTATTCGGTTGTTATTCTAGATAGACAATAAGTCATCCACAGCATCAAGCAGTGTTCCAAGGCTCAAGAATCCCAATAACACCACCTGCAAGGTGCATGCTTCCTGTTACCAATACTCTCTTGGCACCACCTGGGTCCTTGCATATTCTCCTTGCTTCCAAAATACCATCCCTGATGTTATTGAAAGTCTGTACCTGACAATCTGATGCAAGAAGTTTCATAGTCTCAGCTCCTTTTTGCTGGACAGCCAGATCCCTTATTTCGTCAGCAGCTGGTCCTTCTACATCATTGGTCGTGAAGAGCGAATGGCTAAAGATATCCTCCCGGCCCGAGACAGCCTTCACAGTGCTCATGAAAGCGGTCAGAAGTTCCGATATCTCTCGCTCCGGTTGGTTGAATATCAGGACAACCTTTTCGTTCTCGTCCAGTTCCTGGCCATACCACCGGGCAACCTCTATCAAACTGTCTTTTGTGTGCGCGCCATCAAGGCACCATTGTATTCCACCATCCTCAATGACCTCTCCGCGCCCTCGCAGCCTCGCCTCCCTCAAAGCCTCGATCATCTCCTCGGGTGGGTTCTGCACGCTGGCCCTGACCGTGCTTTCCAGCCCAAGATGTTCTCGCACGGCACAGATCGCCAGCGCCTGGTTGAACTTTTGAAAGTCACCTTTCAAGGTGCCCTTCACACCTCCCCAAGCATTGACAATGCCGTCTTCGATCTCCTCCAGAATAGCACCTTTATCTTCTGCCCTCGATCGTAAAACTGCCATGACCTCTGGCTGGCCGTCGAGCCGTCTAGTGAATGCTTTCTTTCCTCGCTTGAAAACGCCTGCTTTGTGCCAAGCAATCTTCTCAACCGTGTCCCCCAACATAGCTACATGATCAATCCCCAGCTGCGACACTACAGCCGCTGACACCGCATCCGCGGGCAGGACGTTCGTCGCATCGTACTCGCCACCAATCCCACACTCAAATACGACATCGCGGATCCCTTGATTGATAAATATATGCCAAGCCAATATCGTCATGAACCGAAAATAGAACGGCTTCGACTCAGGACCCTCGGCCTCCGCCGCAGTCTTGCCCTCTTTACGTGCCGCCTCCGTGAGCCGATCCCACACCTCAAAGAACGACCTGGCAAACAGCTCCTTCTCCACCGGCTCCCCATCAATGGCGATCCGTTCCCTCGGACTTAGGAGATGAGGGCTGGTGAACGTCCCAACCCTGCCGTATTTGCGCAAAATGGTCGTCGCGTAGGCGCACACTGAGCCCTTGCCCTTGGTCCCCGCGACGTGGATGTGCCGCATGCGGCAGAGGTCATGCGGCGTGTATCCCGCGCGCCGCAGCCACGTGAGCATCTCGGGGATCGCATCTGCGTTGAGGTCTTTCCTGGGGGCCGGTTTATCGGATGCCGTCGATGGAGCCGCTTTTTGCACTTCGAAGAGACGCGTGCTGGTCCGGTTGGAGCCGAGCAAAGAGAGCCTCTCGAGGGCTTGGGTGTAGCCGCGGCTGCTTAGCAACGACGACTTCTTCATTGCGATTTCATCAAAAAGGAATAATAAATACAGTATTGTATTCTTGGGACTCGATAATCTGATAATACCGGTCGCACACTTGAGATCAAGCAGCTTAATATTCAAGTGTCTCAATTTCAAAGTCACCCACTTGATATGTTAAGTTACGTTTGAAGGTTCAAGTTCAGGTGGGTCCCGAACCATCAGAGCTCATGCGTACGGAAGAGAAAGAGAACAAAGTTCAACAACAATAAAGCTGCCAGGGCCCGGAACAACTCAACGCAGTGAATACTAAAGCTTAAAAATATAGCCTTTCCTACCTAAACAATCAAAAGCTCCGACGGCTGGAGTCCAACCTGAAGGTCCGAAGACTGATTGATACCCAGGAACCTGAGCCCAAGGTCAAGGGTAAAGCAAACCTTTACGAAACATATTCCAATAAGGCTGGACTCATCGGAGAAATGTCGATCGTAGACGAGTCGTATCCCAAGGTAACCCGACCAAAATCCCGTATGTATATGGTCGAGATGATTATCACCAGAGAAGAGGTTGAACAGAAGTATAAAGACCTCTTCGGAAAGCTTTGGTATTTTGAATACTTGGACTAGAAGGGCCTGGTTACCAGAGGAATTCCACATTCTGTTATACGAGATCAAAAATAAGCTCGGACTATAGGCAACCAACAACAAATGGAACGATCTGATTGAGACGATTTCACAGGTCTTGGACGAGGATACGGATATATACACAGGATTCATTACAAAGACCGACCCACATGTTATGAACTGGACATCCGATCCTATGTACGAACTCGGCAACCACAAGGTACCTAGTCAAGTGGGTGAAATAAAACGTGGCACACTAAAACTCTTTCCGTGTGAGACAGGGACCTCCTTTTTTAACTTCTTACAACAAGAAGAGAATATTAAGAGAATAATAAACTATTCTATAATATCTAGCTTGGTACATATTGTATTCAGGACTGGGTTATTTATTGTGATATTGTGTTTAATTTCAGTGCTGAGCTATCTCGATGTGCCATGTTTTATTACACCCACTTGCTAGTCCACCCAAGATCAGAGTCATACCGCAGGAAGATTCTATGAACCTTCGTCGAGCTCATGTATTCCTACAAATTACTACAAACAAAGGAACTACGGCGAGAGAGCCTTCGAACATTTCCATCTTCCCCGGTCACCATATTGGCCCCCATTTTGGCCACACAAATACTCTTTAGATTCTGAATTTCATGAGACAGACACTAGTAATACCATTCAACCCCATGTCTATTGATCTAATACACGGGCAGAAGAATACCCCTTTTCATTTGAAGGACCAATGTACAGGACAAAAGAAAAGCCTACCCTTACTCCACCCTCAAGCTCTGTAGCCGAGCTTCGGTAGCTATGACCTATAGCAGAGATTAGTTTCTGTCGGTATGTAAGATAAGTAGCTGGGGGTGAGAAACTTACGTCAAGCGCTTGCTGGACCTCCAATACCTTACGCACTTCGCCCAGCCAGTCCTTGCTAAGGGTCTTGGCCCATCCCTCCAAGCCATTCACCTCGCGAGCAGCGGCGTCCAGATCGCCCTCCTCCAAGAAGATCTGTGTTCTTGTCAGGATGCTCTCCACGTCATTGCCCTCTGGAAGACCCTGCTTCTTGAACATAACGTGGCTGAGAACCCAGCTGGAAGCGTGGCTAGCAACACCAGCGTTGTCGGGGAGGAGTGATGCCTTGCGAACCTCACTGGCGACCCGGCGGAATCTGTCAATCAGCTGAGGAGTTGTGAAGAGTCCACGTTGGTACGCAGCCGGGTTCAACGAGGCGATAGCCGCGTTGACAACTGCATCGTCGGCGGCAATCTCCTTGAGCGCAACAAGCTCCTTGATGAAGGGCTGGGGCTGAGTAGCGGTCTCAAGATTGGCGCGGACAGCCTCGACAGCGACATGAAGCTGCTGTGTCTGGAGGTTGGAGTCGACCACTGAGTTCCATCCCGTAGTCAGCTGCTCCAGGTCGGTCACAGCAGCGGAGAGGGCATCCAGTTGACCCAAGCGGCTCTCTCGCTCTTGCTCAACGCGGTTTTGGACCTCAGTGGTGAATTCCTTCTTGAGGGCAATGGCCTGCTCAAGAAGTTGGTTCTCCAACTTGGCTTCATTGAGCTTCTTCTCACGCTCTAGCAGAAGATTGACGCGGGCATCATAGCTTCCTCGGACCTTCTCCATCTCCTCTTCGAACTCCTTGCGCCATTGCAGCTCTTGGCCGATCATAGCCTTCTCGACACGACCAACAAGCTCGGTGGCAGCCTTGTCGAATTCGGCAACCTTGGCGCGAACCTCATCGGCGGACTCCTGCTCAACCTTGGCCTTGATAGCCTTGAGCTGGCCTCCGACCTTCTTCACTTGTGACTTGGCCTTGTCGATTGAAGATCCGTACTTTCCATGGGCACCATCTGCGTTGATTACGGTAATGAGATCATTGAGCATGTGGACGAGTTCTTGAACAACTGGCTCCTTGGCATCGGCCAGGGAGAGAAGATCAATGGGCTTCAGGGGTGGGAATCTTGAAGGCTCGTTAACCTCCGGCTCCTTGAAGCCTGGTTGCTTCTTCTCCTCGGACTTGACAGTGACGGGTTCGGCGGGCTTAGCTGTAGGCTCGGGAGCCTTCGTGGCAGCCTTGGGTTTGGCAGGTTGGCTCTCCTTCTTTGTGGGAGCTGAGCCAGTGCCAGATCGTCTGCTTGAGTCAGCAGCATCGGCAACCCTCCAAGAGGCACCGCTCTGGGCTGGGATTGTAACCTGCTCGCTGCCGTCTCGGGGTTTGCCGATGCGACTTGCGGCATTAGGAAAGCGCTTCTTGTATTCTAATTCCTCCAGATACAAAACAGCCTGCTCTCCGTATGGTACATATTCGGTAAAGTAATCGTGGAAGGTGTCGTTGATCCGAGAGTACCAAACACCCCCACCAAAAGTGAGAGCACTCAGCAAAATCAGGTTCAAGGTGAGGTTTCGAAGTCGCCTGAAGAAGCCCTTCTTCTTGCGTGGAGGGGTAACAGGTGGTGCTGGGGTTGGAATCTCTTTGGCCTTGGACTCTCCAACATCATCGATTGTCGAAGGAGGGGGGTTCTGAGCAGCGGCTTTCGCGTCTTCGGCCTTCTTTTGGTCGGCAAACCCTCTCTTGAAATCACGGTATTAGTACATAAACCACCCAACTGTCCAATTATCAATAGCAGTTGTCTGATTCGAGGATCTCACCTGAAGCAACAGGTTGGCTCGGTGCGAGGTCGCAACAGGCCATTGGCGCTGGGCAGCAGCCGCAACGGGCTGTCTGCCAAGCACACGCGCTGACCGGAGCGATAATCGCAACATTAGGGAGAGTATGGCCAACGCAGGCGCAGGGATAGAGGGAATGGCGATGGATCGTGTATGGAGATCAAGAAGCTGGACAAAAACGCTCAGGAAAAAGTTCGGCTAATGGGCCTGATCGGCTGGGCGGACCTGACACGGCGGCGGGCTAGTTAGTGACGGTAGGAACCGGGTGGGTGTGACGCAACTGGCATTCTGAGCCTCCGAGTCGCCTCACCAGATTCCTTCAATTGGGTTTGGTGCTACCCTATAGCTATTCCAAGTTAGTTGAATATAAACTCTATGACACGACCCAGCCCATCGATTCATTCACTAGGTTTTCCGTATGACCGATAGCAGACCTCCCTATTCTAGAGGAATGGTCATTTTGAATTGGCTTGTTGGATGTCAGATGTGACTCGAGGTCGAGGTCTTCCGTATTAGTTCAGACTATCTCATGCACCCCATTGCGTTTCCTCTTACCAGGCAACACAATATCAAGATTACGACTAGATGATTAAAAGCCTGATTCTGAAACCACTGCAATCTATTAGGCGCCGGATTATATCTGAATGCTACATGTGCCTCTCGAATGTGGCCGCTGAACCTCTCCCTAAGCCCTATCCTCCGCAAGCATTTGGGCAACCCAGAGACAATAATGATATCCAGCCGGCACCCCGAAGACCCCGAAACAAAAATCGGATCTTAATATTAAAAAAAAGAAGAACGAAGAGACATTGTCAACTGAAAACCATTCACGAACCCAGACTCCAAGGAATATACGAGGTGCTAGGACTAAGAAGAAAAAATATGAGCCAAGCTGGAAGACATTGTCGGTATTGGATCCATATGCCAACCCCAGCTCCTACACAGCACGTCCGCGGCAGGGAAAACCTCATCTGACGTTCACTTGCGCGAGGACTTCTAACAGCTGCACTGGCCGCCCGCGTTGGTGTTTCCGCTTTCGGGTTGCAGAGTAACACCTGGTCGCTGTCCTGGTCGAGCATGTCGAGGACCTGCCTGGTCTAGCGGCAGCTTTTTGGCAATAGCTGTGAAGAGCTCGCGGACATTCTCAGCTGTTTTCGCGGAGGTCTCAAAGAACAATAGACCAGCCTCCTGTGCATAGGCTTCAGCATCAGCGGTCGGGATCGCTCGTTTATCGGGTTGCTCGGTGACCAAGTCGAGTTTGTTGCCAGCAAGAGCAATGATGATGTTCTCGTTAGCCTGTCGCTGCAGTTCCTTCACCCACGCCTTAGCCTTGTCTAGAGAGGCCTTTTGGCTGTTAGTACTAATGCAGTGCGTTGTGAGGTTGGTCAACTCCACATACAGATTGCGTAATATCGTATACAACAACAGCGCAGTTGGCGTTTCGATAGTACATGGGAGCGAGAGATTTGTATCGCTCCTGGCCAGCCGTATCCCAGATCTCAAACTTGACAGTTGTGTTCTCGTCCAGAGAGATGGTTTGTGTGAGGAACGCAGCACCGATGGTGGATTCGCGGAAAGAGTCGAATTGATCCTGGACAACGAGTTAGCGATGAAAGGTCGTGTGAGATGGAGCTTGACAGGCTGACGCACCTTTACGAATCGCAGGACAATCGAACTCTGGATGCATATGTTAGTCGTTCATTCCAAGTGCATACGTGAGTAATGTGCCATGTACCTTGCCTACGGCCGACTCTCCTGCACATCTGTTAGCGATGTTTAACATATGGGAGCTGGCAATGACGACGTACCGAGCAGAACCAGCTTGAATTGCGCAAAGCGGTTATTAGAGCCGCGGGGGCCGGCGGGTCCTCGAGAAGCCATGATGCGTGTGTGAATGGTTTTTGTGGTTGGGAATCCTGGGAGAGAACGGAGCCGGTGTGGTGATGGAGGGGGTGGCTGTCGAAGGAATCAGTTGTTGAGAGGCCTATTTGCCTGATGGATTAGGCGACGTGTGTAAGGGGGACGAAGACAGTGGGCGGTGATGCGGAATGGAGGCGGTGCGATGGATAAGATGTGTAGACAGAGACCAGATCCGGAAGATATCCACGCTGGTGCTGGTGACGATGCAGGCGGATAGGCATACACAAAGATGAATGGCGAAGGCACCCACGTCAGTGTTCGCTCCAAAAGGTCAGTCAGCAGGCAAGCAGACCATGCCATGGGTGCACGGGGTGTTCTCTGAGACCTGGCGGCACGGTGCTGTACCCCAATTCCGGTGTAGCTTCTGCCCGTTTGCATGTACACAGTACACGCCTGTGTTACATAAGCCGGGGACCAGTGAGGCAGGCACTCTTTGCAGTGGCTACCTACCTACAGTCTGTTGGGGGCGTGTGGCTTTCACAAGCTCTGGGCGGGTCCCACGGTTCATCCAGGCGCTGTGACGTGATTGGGGGGCTGGCCAGGAACATACCAACCCGCCAAAAATAGGCCCCAGACTATGTCCTCCGAAGCTGAGCTGGCTTGCAGGTCGGTGCTAATGATGTGGCCTCTCTCCAACACCAAAGTTTGGGATTGTTGACGCCTAAACTATCCACGCAAGCTCGTTATCCCCCGTGATAGTGGCTTGCATGCGGGAAGCATCAATTTGCTTCACCACCCCTCACTGGATCGTCCAGTACCACTGATAGTCCCACCACGGGTCCGCTAAACAGCCATCTGCTGCCATGGCCCATCTCCAGACAGCGAAACTTCCCTATCGGGATACCAACATCAGAGTCACCACCGACGCGTACACCTTCACCTCGCCCTCGTCCCCCGATGCGCCTGCTTTGATCCTCGACCGCCCGACCGGCGATGTGCGTTTGAGCGAAGGTTCTGCCGCTACTTCCAAGCGGGCATCTCGAGTCTCCAGCATCGCTGGTATTCTGGGTATCGTTCAGCTTAGACTAGGTTAGTCTGGCCAAGCAGTTGCTTATATTCGTTGAATGGATGCGACTGCAAGTGTTCATTCAGATGGATTCTGACTTTGGACAGACAAATATGTGATCCTCATCAACAAAGCCAACCCGGTTGGCCGCCTCAAGGGCCACATGATCTACAAGATCGCTTCGACCGAGATATTGCCCATGAGAGAGCGGCAAGTTCACGACCCCGACGAGGATACATTCATCGAGCTTCTTAAGACCTTCCTCGCGCAAGGCCCCATGTACTTCTCCTACTCCATCGACTTAACCAACTCGGTCCAGCGTCAGTCCCAATCCGACACCACAAATCCCCTGTGGATGAGAGCCGACGATCGCTTCTTTTTCAACCGATATCTCCAAACCGATCTGATCAACTTCCGAAATCGGGGCTCAAGGAGCCAGCCAGGCCCTCGCCCTGGAGTCGACCCTTTCATCCTTCCGTGCATCTTTGGCATGCTTGAAATCAAGCCGACGACATTCAAGAGCACCCAATTGACGCTGGCCCTCATTTCTCGGCGATCACGCTTCCGAGGTGGCACGCGATACTTCACTCGAGGTCTGGATGAGAAGGGCCATGCTGCCAACTACAATGAGACTGAGCAGATTGTCATTCTCAATGACCGCAGCAGTGGATTAGGCGGCTATGCTGGCAGCTCCGACATGCAGAGCGGCAAAGTTGGGGGACCGAACGAGAAGGAGGTACAGCTCTTCTCATATGTCCAGACTCGAGGCAGTGTTCCGACATACTGGGCTGAAATCAACACTCTGCGCTACACCCCCAAGATTCAGGTGCGAAGTACCGAGTCAGCAGCCGCAGCCGCAAGGAGGCACTTTGATGAGCAAATCCGCATCTATGGCGATAACTATCTCATTAACCTTGTCAACCACAAAGGCCGAGAGCAGAAGATCAAAGAATCTTACGAGAAGATGGTTCAGACACTGGTCTCGTCCCCAACCGCGAAGCAGGAAGCTGACAGGCTTACCGATGAAAAGTTCACTACCATTCAGCCTGGCAGTTCTCAGCAGGAGTTCGACCGCGTGCACTATGTCTACTTTGACTACCACACCGAGACAAAGGGCATGAACATGCACAAGGCATATGCACTTGTCGAAAGATTAGCCAATGTGCTCGAATCACAGGGGTACTTCCGTGGCATTGACACACCAGCGAACAAGGACAGAGTGATTGATGCTCGAAGTCTCCAGACCAGCGTCATGCGTACCAACTGCATGGACTGCCTTGACCGTACTAATGTCGTCCAGAGCATGTTCGCACGCCACATGCTTGACCGCGTGTTCCAGGATCTTGGCTTGCTCCAGCGCGGCTCCTCATTCCGTGACGAGGATCCAGCTTTCGAGTTCCTTTTCCGGAACTTGTGGGCAGACAATGCTGATGTCGTCTCCAAAGCCTACTCCGGTACTGGCGCAATGAAGACTGATGTCACGAGAACCGGTAAGCGGACCAAGATGGGCGCTCTTCAGGATGGTCGAGTCGGTGTCACCCGATACTTCCTCAACAACTTCATGGACGGACCCCGCCAGGATGCTTTTGATCTGTTCCTCGGAGCATACGAGCCAGGAGCTGCCAACATCGGCAATAATCTCATCTTTGTGGACAAGCGACCCCTCCTTATCCAGTCTATCCCTTACTTGCTTGCATTTAGCGCCTTCGTCATCTTCATCAGCATCTTCACCAAGAGGGATCCAACATCGAGCTCGCTCCCCATCCGGCTCTTCATGCTCTTCTGGCTCGGCGTTGCTGGATACTGCATTCACTTCATCATTGGCCACGGCATGCTCTATGTGAGTCCTCTTCCCCGTGTTCATGATTCCATACATATCGTACACTTGACTAACACAATGTGATTTCCAGGTCAACTGGCCTCGTCTTAACCCACGGCCATTCGCTGTTGAAGCGTATGGCGAGAGCTTCACAAAGGCCAGAAAGGACTCCCTGGTTGGACCGTTCGTGGCCAAGCACGAGAGAGGATTGAGCACAGCTCGTTATCTTAACGCAGAGGAGGGCAAGAAGAGAATTGAATAGAGCCTAGAACGCGCTAGACTAGATGGAGCCCGTTGCTTTGTCGGTGGTCGTCTACTTCAAAAACCCTTGTAGTTTCTTATGTTGTATTC